AAAATAAGTTATTATAAAATACATTTATGCTTCAGACTTATACTGGTTTCCAGTTCCTAGTATTATTCTGAATGCCACCAGCTATCATCTGAATGATATTCTCTGTTCCCTTTTTCTCTTAGTAGCATATAATTGATTTGCTTAATAAAATTTTTATTTTCTATAGAGTACTTATTATAAATTAATTAAAAAATAAGTTATTATAAAATACATTTATGCTTCAGACTTATACTGGTTTCCAGTTCCTAGTATTATTCTGAATGCCATCAGCTATCACCTGAATGATATTCTCTGTTCCCTTTTTCTTGTGCAATTGGGACGTTTTGTCCTGGCTTTTATTTTGATTCTGATCACAACAAACCTTTTTCACAGTTTTCAAGTTCAGAAATTCAGGTGTTGACGTGGTTGATACTTCAGATTGTATCGGTGGAGTTGAGTTATTATGTGATTCTTAAAGTTTTTTTTCCCGATTCCTCTCTCTAGAGTTGGCAATCGCAACGAAACCTACCCGAAACTAGTTTCGGGAGACTCTAATCCTAAACTAGTTTTGGATTTTCTAAAAAACATCCGAACCTCCGAAACCTGAAATCCTGAAACTATAATCCAAAACTCCGAAACTATAATCTAAATTTTTTAAAAAATTATAACTTAAAACATACAAACAAAAAAATTTAGACTAACAAAGTAATAATAAATTAATCATTCTATTTATTTCAAATAGCTCAATAAATAGAATATTTTAGTATAGCCAGAAAGTATTATAATTACGGTTTTTATAATCCTCCAATTTGTGCAATAGCACAAAGTTTTTATTAATACTACCGAGCCATTTGTTACTATTGTTTTCTTCAATAATTTTTTGTTGCTGTGTCCTGGATTCAAATAAATAATCAGAGTTATAATCTTCCGGAAGCGCATTAAAAATTAAATCTACAAGATTTCCTGGTTCATTCGCATTTTCTTGATTAGTTTTTATAATTCATTTCGAATTTCATTCTTTTTGCGTTTATTGTTAATGGGAATTTGGTTACGGCAATTAACATATATTTTTAGAATAGTGTGTTCATTGGATTTCATGCTTTTAATGATCGCTTTTCACTTTAAATAATCGAAGAAAAAAAAAACACTTACTAAATCAATTAGTTAATATTTTGATAAATATTATTATTATGATCTAATCATGAACTAACAATATCATATGATTTTTGAAACTTTTTGGGGTGGTGATTTTACCCCAGTCTACATTGATCATGCCGAAATTAATAATTCATCGAATCAGCAGAATACCCATTCAGTTAATTTTCATAAGGTGTTCCAGGAATAATGATAACAGCTGTAAATCGGATCTAATAATTAAATTCAGATATAAATTATTAAATCTGGATCAAAGTCATTATAGTATTTACAATTTAGAGGTCAGATTAGTTAATCCACTTTATATATTTATTGTAAAGATATAGTCTATAACTATTTTGTATTATAAAAACTGGTTTAACACAGGTTTTTATATATAAAAAATAGTTTAGATTATACCTCTAATTTATTGTTATTGATTTTATAGAAATTTATTATACCAATAGGGTTTTGGGATTTCGGGTAAGGTTTCGGGTTTCGGATAAGGTTTCGGGTTTCGGATGAGGTTTCGGAAACTATAATCCGAAACCCAAAACTTTCGGATTTGGCCAAAAAGGTTTCGGTGACCAACTCTAGATGTATGTTTCTAAAAAAAAATATAAAATCGTGAGTGATTTAAAAAGATTTGGTTATACAGTATAATTTTTCTAAAAAAAAATAAATGTATGCTGTTAAAATCGATTAATACGATCCAATTCTATCTTATTTTTGCTTATTTTGGATAATCCTTTAAAAATGTAACAGCAACTTATCATTTTTACTTAAATAGATCACTTGTAATGATTTGCTATGTTAAACAGGAACGAAGTGTACCAAAAATGGAATGTAATGAAGTGTACCAGGAACAGAATACAAAGTAAGTAGGGTAGCGAGTGAAATGGTGTGTGGGATTCTCAGCATATGATTAGGTAATCTGTCATTGTAGATTTGTGTAGCACTCTCAACAATACTTTAAAAGGTAGATAGTGTTATCAGCCTAAGTTACGTGCCACGTGACATGGCTAACCAAATAAGGGTGACCTGGCTAGAAAAGTCAGAATCATCAGAAAGGACCAAAATGTAGGAAAAGTCCTTTCCGATCAAAGGGGCGAGGTAAGTAACGTAGTCAGTAATGGAGGGAACACTAATGTAGTCATTAAAGATGGGCAAATTGCAGTTTTTCAAAAAATCCCGCGCGTGACGCACAGGATTCATTAAATCTGGTGCCGCGTGGTTGAACTTCATTCAAGTTGATGAAGAGTCAACAGATCGAAAAAATGGCTAAGCGGGGATGTCCCAGAACTAAACCAGTTGAATCTTGAGAGGTAGCAGCAAAATTGGCTGAATGGGTAGATGGCCTAATCAGGCGGAAACATATAAAATCAGATAAGCATAATGAATTTTAATTAACTGCTTAATTTAGAGTTCAATGCAATTACTAATAATAGATCATCAGCAGAGAAATATAAGAATAAGCACAATGCAGGCAATAGGCCACTACCACCGCAAGAAGTAAGATTCGCAATGAGAACACATAAAACATGAAGCACTTCAAATAACAGAAATAATAGTACTTCAAATGAGTCAACTGAAACAGTAGCAACTTCCAGTAGCCAAGAGACACAGAACTCAGCTTCAGACCTAGAAACACGAATGAGAACATACATAGACATAGCGATTCAGGCATTAACAGCATCATTAGTATGTAATATGCAGCATTACATGGAACAGCAGGCAGAAGCACAACAAGAATGGAACACAAGACTCATAGAAACTATAAATCAGAGACTCACACCATTAGAACAAGCAAACCCACACAACGATATTCAAAATATACCAAGAGAACAGAATAGTACAACACAACAGCAACACACCAGCCAATCGGATACTCAACAAAACATAAGGGAGTTAGAAGAAAATATAGAGACTACACAAGGTAATTATCCTCCAACACCTACAATGAACAACTTAATACTACAATTAAATTCAAAAAATCAAGGTAGAAAAGTAGTAAATGATAGCGAGGAAACAAGTTATAAAACAACCAACAGAAAGTTCCCATCATTAACCTATATATCTAAAGAAAAGATGTATGCAATTCAAGGTTTTTATAATCAAACAGCTATAGAGACAGAGCAGATACGACTATGGTGGGTAATGAACTGGTCAGAAGGGCAAAAAAGAATAGAAATGCTTCCAAAGAAACCAAACTTACCTAACAAGACATGGAAAGCTATAGCATTAGGCATGTTTGTTGACTTACAAGAGTTTGTACATAAAAACCTAGTCAACAATGTCAAACAAATGAATGAAGATTCAACATTACAAACATTAGATGGAGGCATCTTAACTATCAAAAAACGAAGACAGAATGCCACATTTGAAAATATATTAGAGTGGCTTCTTGCATTTAAAGCATATATAGATGCAGTGCTTATAATTTATGACAATCAGGAATTAGAACTGAACACATATCGAGATCACATAAATGAGCTATGTATAAGATATAGATTCTCAGCTGTAATGAGCTATGATGAAGATCGTAGAATAGCATTAGTAATAAATTGTGATACAACTTTAATGGACCGAGATACAGAAGCTGAAGGAAAGAATTTTGATGCAGCAGCTACAAAAAGAGCTAGAGATGAGTGGCATTACAATGGATGGTCTAGCATTATGTGGCATGATGGGAAGGAAATATGCCTTAATTGGAATAGAAGAATATGTACAGAAGACAAAAACTGTAGCAGGGTTCATGCCTGCATTACATGCAAAAAACTAGGACATAGTGAGAAAAACTGTTTTCGTAAACACTCAGAACTTAGAAAGTTTAGTTTAGCAAATACAAATTCAAAGTTTGAACAACGTAACACTAACTAATAAAATAAATAAATAAATAAATAAATAAATAAAAATAATACCAACAATCAATAACAATAAAATAACAACATAATATAGCATCATTAGTTAAATATACACAATATATATATATATATACGGAATAATAATAACATTAAAATTAGGCAAGTAAATTAAGGATAGTAGCTAACAAACTTTAATATTATATAATATAACAGTAACTAGTGATAAAAGACCGAAGTTCAAATACAGTACACAATTCAAAGCAGGCAGAGCATTAACACTACATACAAAACCAACATTACAATCAGTAAATCAAACAATTGAAACACAACCCCCAAGAAGCATCCCAATGACGCAAGAAGAATTAACAATACTATCACAGTTAGATCCACATCAATTCAATGTTACAACTCCTATCAACAAAATAGCTTTTGATTACTTAACAAGTAATCACCCCAACCGCCTAGTTATTAAATATATACAAAATAGGTTAGAGCATGATTTTAGATTCAATTTCTCAAAAAAGCATACAATGACAATACAAGAAAACCTAAAATCAATTGATATAGAGCCATCTGCTTTAATAAATTATATAAACAGTGAGATTGCTATAGGATGAATGTGTGGACCATTTACTATTAACAACTTACTATATTCAATAATTCAAGTAAATCTATATGGGTTAGTAGAAAAGAAAAACTCCAACCCCAAAGTATACCGAGTAATATCTCACTTATCTGCTCTTCGTGAAATGAGCATAAATGATGGCATTGATCCAAAAGACTTTACAACAAAGTATGAAAACCTGAACCATGCAATTGGATGGATAACTCAGTATGGCCATGGTTGTCTGCTATCAAAAATTGATATCCAAGATGCATATCACATCTTGCCAGTCCATCCAGTTGATCAAATTTTGCAAGGACTGCAATGTGAAGGAAATATTTATTTTGATAAGGCACTTGCATTCGGAAATAGAGCATCAGGAGGAATTTTTTGCCGCTTTGCAGATGTTATTACATGGATTGCTATAGAACAAGGAATAAAATCAATAATACATTATGTAGATGACTTTTTAATAATATCAAAAACTAATGCACAACAAGAATTGAACCAATTTTTGCACATTCTAAAAATACTAAATGTTCCATATAAACAGTCTAAACTCGAAGGACCATGCACTGCTCTAACATTCTTAGGAATCAATATTGATACTAACACTTTTTCAGCCTCAATCCCACATTCGAAGAAAGCCAAGCTTATAGAAATGCTTACAGAATAGCAAAACAAAAAGTGGTGTTTTAAAAAAGACTTACAATCCCTAGTAGGCTCATTAATGTGGTTATATCAAGTCATTCCACAGGGCAGACCTTTTATCCAACGTTTCATTAAAGCATCAGGTAGCACTAATAAATCAAAGTTCAGCATAAAAATCACTGGCCTTATGAAGGCAGACATAAGATGGTGGTCTAGTATCCTACTTACTTGGTCTGGTGTGTATTTCATGGAGGACAGAGTATGGCTACAACCTAGTACACAAAATTTATACACTGATGCATCAAACCTGGGAGGTGGTGCAACATATAACTTATACTTTACAACATTCAATTAGTCTCAGGAATTAGACTTATCGAAGCATAATATACAAGTGCGTGAACTACTTACATGCTTAATAGCAATGCTCACATTTTCTCCATTATGGTTGAAGAAACGACTAATCATGTGGACAGATAATCAAGCGAATGCTGAAGCATTTTATGCTGGATTCTGTAAAAATTCAACTGTCAATGACATAATAATAAAAATGTACATGACCCAAATTCGTGACAACTACTCAATCAAGTTAGAGCACATTTCAGGAAAAAATAACAAGGAAGCAGATTTATTATCATGTAATGGATTCAGACAATACAGGATACAAAATCCATTTGCAAGATATCTACAACCAGTAATCCCAACAGAGTACACTAACTTAATAACTACAATTTCTTCTCTCTATCTTTAGGCACAGATAACACCATAGCATATAATAGCATGATTAAAACACCACAACCACAAATAGAAACATCAGTTAACTTTACAAATGGCATACCACTAGACAAGCAAGCAGCATTGATATTAGGCATAAGCTCTCCAAAACACTACACATATACCAACATCATTAAGCATTATGAAAAACTGGCCATAGAAAATAAATGGCTAAACAAAGATAGAACAATATAGCCAATATCAAGTGACAGCTTAGCAAAATTTATAACATACCTACATCCGAAAGTTGCTCCTCCAACTATTACATCATACCTATCCACACTAAAATATCACCACACTATGAATCACACCAACTGGGACCACATACGCTATGATCCACTAATAAAGCAACTGTTAAAGACTATAGAAAGCAATCATACATTTAAGCCAACAAACCAAAAAGAGCATATTACTAGGGACCAACTACAATACATAAAATCAAGACTAAGCCTGAACAACCCTAATGACCTATTATTTTGGTCTGTAGCATTGGCAGCATTTTACAGCTTGGTCTGCCTAGGGGAGCTCCTACCAAAATCGCGAAAAGATATGGCAAAAATCTCTGCAATACATGCCCTAAAGTTCGAAAAAGCAGGCAAGGACACATTCATCACAATTCAGTTACCCAGAATGAAGAGCCACAAAACAGTAGAATGCCCAATACTAATTATAAACTCAACAAAGGACAACCTATGCCCAATTGAAGTTCTGAAAGCATACATAATTCAACGAACTAACCTGAAATATGCCCCAGGAGAATCTGCTTTGTTTATTAAAACCAATGGGACTATAGCAACCAAAGGCTGGTTTATCGACAAGCTTAAATCACTTTTACCAGGCGCCAATGTAGCTGGTCACAGCTTTCGTGCGAGAGGCACTACAGAGCTAGTACTATGAGGTGTATAGCTTTCTGTAATTCAGAGAATAGGAAGGTGGTCATCAGATGCATTTCACAAATACATCCAAGCACACCCTGCGACAGTGGCTACGATTTTAAGCAAGGCATATTCTAATTAACGATCATCTTATAAACATTGGAACCAGATCATAATCAGAATACTATATAAAAAAAAAAAAAAAAAAAAAAAGGAGGAAAATATACGCATATGTATAATATGTACATCAATTAAACTAACGGTTAACAAACCACTGTCAGGTTGGCCAAGGTAACAATAACAAAGAAAGTGAATAAATTAAGTAATACCAAACCAGGTATGTCAGACCAATTCAGTACCACAGTAATCTTACGTTCCTGGGAATGCCATTCGAACTCCCAGGATAATAATAATAATGTATTATAATATATACACATATATATAACGTATAAATAAATAAATAATTATAATGCACAAAACAAACATAAATAAAACATGAACAAAATGACAGAACCCCATTTTTGGAGTCCATGCAGAATTCTGCCATTTTGTAGTAACTTAAGACTTCATATCAAAAGCCGGCCTGCTTTATGCAGTGTGGGAGACCACCGGCTGGTACTACGCATCGCGAATTCAACTGATGACGGTAATACCTGGCGCATTATGGTTGCTGTTCCTGGGAGCATATCCCGTCTCGACTTATGCATCAATCGCACTGATATACTCAATAAAAATCATTCAATAAAGTTAATATCTAGCACTATTGGCTAGATGCATCCAACGATAACATATCACATGTGTGCAATGCTTTTTGTTCAAGTTGACGAAGAGTCAACAGATCGAAAAAATGGCTAAGCGGGGATGTCCCGGAACCAAACCAGTTGAATCCTGAGAGGCGGCAGCAACATTGGCTAAATGGGTAGATGGCCTAATTGGGCGGAAACATATGAAATCAGATAAGCATAATGAATTTTAATTAACTGCTTAATTTAGAGTTCAATGCAATTACTAATAATAGATCATCGGCAGAGAAATATAAGAAAAGCACAATGCAGGCAACAGGCCACTACCGCTGCAAGAAGTAAGATTCGCACCCGGACCCTCCCGCCCTGCTTTGGAGTCCACGCAGAATTCTGCCATTTTGTAGTAACTTAAGACTTCATATCAAAAGCCGGCCTGCTTTATGCAGTGTGGAAGACCACCGGCTGGTACTACGCATCGCGAATTCAACCGATGACGGTGATACCCGGCGCATTATGGTTGCTGTTCCCGGGAGCATATCCCGTCTCGGCTTATGCATCAATCGCACTGATGTACTCAATAAAAATCATTCAATAAAGTTAATATTCTGCACTATTGGCTAGATGCATCCAACGATAACATATCACATGCATGCAATGCTTTTCGATTTTGATTTTCCAACGACTGTGATCGACAAAATTTTGGCCACATTATACATAATTTTGGCCGGAATTTGATTTTTTAATCGTTTAAGGTTTGGGTCTGTGTGATGGTAAAATTAACCCAGGAACATATTTCACTTAGGGTTAAAAATTACATTTTACAAATTTACAATACATGTAATTTCACGGGATATATAGTACCTAGAGATGGGCAAATCGCGGTTTCTCCAAAAATCCCGCGAGTAATTTTGCCTAAATTTTTGGTCGTTGCCGTCGTCGTATTTTTTGCAAGGTTTAATAGCAGTAATTACATTAAGCACGTCCTTGGTTAAAGGTTTCATCAGATCCAATTTTTGTAAGATGATTCCAAATATTATTATTACTACGCATATAATTTATTTTGAAAAGAGCGACTTAATCATAAAGAATATTTTTGTAATGTAAGCGAAATATACTAACGACAAAGAAGGTAAATTCTTATCGTATATATAAATAAACATATGTGTGAAATGGTATGCAAATAAATAAATAAACTTTAATTAGGAATTAGCTAAAGATGTTAATGCAGGTCAGATATTATATTAATGCTAGCCAGATATTATGATAATGCCGGC